ATATATATATATATATATATATATATATAATAGAAAGGATGTGACACAATGGAAAATATAAAATGAATTTTAACAACTTACGAGAGTTGCTTGCTTAGAATTGCCTTAAGATAGGTCCGAAACATGGGACATGAAAAAATAAGATCCAAGGAAAATCTTAAGGATGTCATTATATACTTTAGAACAAGACTATGTATAAACTCATCCAATATTAAGGGGTCATTGTGATACTCAAATAATGGCACCTCATAATTATTAATTACTTCATGTCCACTCTAAAATTAAACTAGACCTACAACCATGTCCACCAGACAAGGTCACTACATGTTCTATGTTATCTCTATATAAAGTTATCTGATCTCATTTTCCCTAACCATGACAAAGCAATAAGACAACAAATGGATTCCCTCCACTTTCCTTCATTTGCATCTGTCAGAGTTCTTCTGTTTGCTTTCTGGGTTACAACGTTGTTTCCCGAGTTTGTAGTGAGCATAACAAGGCACTACACATTTAATGTACAGTAACAACACTTACCATGCTGCATGAAGTTTGTTTACTTCAATAGTTGCATTTGCATTATTTGTTCACTACTAATATTTCCACTTGTTTACTTCTTCATGTGCAAAGATCGAGTACCTGAATGTCACTAGATTGTGCCACACAAGGAACATTCTGAGTGTGAATGGGAAATTCCCAGGACCTCCCTTAGTGGCAAGGGAAGGTGATAGGGTTGAGGTCAAGGTGGTTAATCACATCTCAAACAATGTAACCATCCATTGGTATGTACTTTAATTTTTAATTAGAAGACAAGCTAGTCCTCTTTCTTAGACAATGGTGCATATATAATATCTTAGAAGTAATAAGTTTATAAGTTTGTTTAGATACTCTTAATTAGAAGGATTTTAGTGAGTTTTTCTACTAAAAATAAAGAGTATTTTTAATAGGAAAATTCTAAAAAGATCTTTATAAACTTGTATCCAAATAGATTTTATATGCATTAATGGTGTAAAATGTTTTTATACTGTAATCAAATCATAAATTATCATGTATGATAAATTTGTTGTCATTTATGATAATTATTTTAAAAATTATACTACGATGATTTTTGATTGGTTGATTGTGTTATGTAATTGGTGCATAGAATTACACTCATATTCTAGTTATCATGCAACTCTTTTTTCTAATGATCTTGGATTGATGCAGGCATGGCATTCGTCAGATAACAAGTGGGTGGGCTGATGGACCAGCATATGTGACACAGTGTCCTATACAAACCAACCAGTCATACACATACAACTTCACCATCGTAGGGCAGAGAGGGACTCTGCTTTGGCATGCTCACATATCATGGCTAAGAGCAACCATTTATGGACCCATCATCATCCTCCCCAAGCAAAATGAACCTTATCCATTCGAGAAACCATATAAAGAAATCCCCATTCTTTTTGGTATGATATTAGTTGAGAGTGAGAATGGAGGAAAACTAATTTTGACCATATAATCAAAATCCATAGCCAAGACAGTTTAATTAATATAATATTGACCTTTATAATTAATAGTATGGTCAAGAATAACTTTATATTTTGAGATACTATCTCATTGATACACACATAAATTTTTATATATATATACATATATATATATATATATATATA